ATTTTTTTTTTTTATTATGTCCTTCCCATTCGCGTTCTACCGTTTTTTTTTAATCATTCCTGCGTTTCCATTCCGAAGACCTGTTCATATTTCCTAAATGGCATTGCCCACGGCCATTTTTTTCTTCAAGCAATGTTCGCGCCGATTCCTTTATTTCGCACGACATAGACCCTTTTCCACCCAACTAAACGTTCTTATTGTCTCCCAAGATTCATACGGCCTCCTATGCTCTTTCTACATTGAATGTCGGCTGACACATTGAGAAAAAAAAAACATGCAGCTCTTCCGGCGGAATACACATCCACGTAATGCGTGTTTTATTCTATTTTTTTCTCCACAGCGTCCACAAAGCTAGGTGACATGAACTTCCGGAAAGTTCATACGAATTAAACAGCAACGAGCGTTGCATGTGATTTCAAATGGAGGCAATTTGATAAAAAACTGAAAGAGAAATTTAGGAATGGCGTCTCTATTCTGTTGATTAGAATTATGTTGTGTCTATTTGGATTAGATTTGAATATCGATGTTCTTTGGATTTCTGAATATGTTTTAATATATTTTCTTGTTTTAACTCTGCGTGGTATTTGGTAAATGGAAAATGATAGAAATAATGAACGTGATATTAATTATCGGCAACACATCAAAGAAGCAATCAGAGATGGTCCTAGAGCAGAGATCGGCAACATTTTGCTATGTGTCGACTTAGGATTTTAAAATCATTAAGTGTGCCAACGGCATACGTATTTTTATACAAGTCAAGGTCAATATACCTATTCTACAATATATTTTCTTTTAAGACATTTCTTATGTTTATACGGTCTTTTTATAGATACAAATATTTAAGTTAATGCTCTGTTTATAATAAATAGTATTAACAACATTTACCAGCCTGAAAGTCCGAGGAATTTTCATAGAAAATATGCATCCTCCGACAGAAATGGAACCTGTATCCTATAATGAACCGTCATATAACCTGACGTGATTTACCGATACAGCCACAGAGGAGCGTTTCGATTAGCAAGGTCCATTTTACTGCTTTTAAACTAGCATTTACTTAAATATTTATATCTATGAAAAGAACGTATAAACATAAAAAAGTCTTAAAATAATTGTCGGACTTTGTCTATTTCATAATATATTTTATATAGCAATACATAGTATATATACATGAGTATATATTAAAACTTAAACAGCTAAATATCTTTTTTGTGTTGTAGTAGTTATTGGTTTGGACATCATTATGACATTTGCGGCTGCATGCCGTTGGAAATTATTTGGCGTGCAACGTGTGAAACGCATGGCGTAGGTTGCCGACCCCTGTTCTTAAGGATATAAAAAAAGAAATCCTTTAGATGTTTAAAATGATTCCCAGGCAAACCATTCGAAAAGTAATCTATCTGATATTTGATTGCGTAAAGGTAACTAACGGTACAATATGACATTTAAAAGAGAGAAAATCAAATTATCATTATGAACTCGTGTAATGTAAAGCAGCTCGGAATGAGAGGTCAGAGGTCGGCGTATAAATTCCAGTGGGAGATCAATGCATGCACTCACGCGCAAATACATATGCAAATGGTATGAATCTAGCACATCTCATAGGTGATATAGCAGAGAAGACTAGTGTCACTAGCAGTGATTGTCAACCAGTTTAAGAGAAGGAAAACTCTGAATTCAAGACCATAAAAATTGCCCATGTTCCACGACACACCATTATGAGGATTGGAGGAAACAAGTAAAATTATATATATATATATATATATATATATATATATATATATATATATATAGTAGCGAGCATAAAATCAGAACGATGTTAAGTAAAAGTCTAAATGTGAAATAACTTTTTATTTTAAAGCTTCATAGAACATTTTATCAAGTAAAAATAAGAATATAAAGATAAATTGTATAATTCCAAAATAGAAAGCTCAATAATTTTATCTTGATAAAGTTATAAGAATAATTATATAACATTCGAAAAAAATAGATGATCAAAAACATCAGAACGATTAAATGAATCCATAAAATTTAATAATTATTTTGCATTATTGGAAATTTTTTAGGGTAAGAATATAAAATAAGTGTATTGTACTAAATTACACCGGCTCTTTACTTGCTTTTGCATTGTAAACATGGCGAAAAAATCTGTTATGTCATTGAAATTTAGAAAACTGATAGTCAAGTTACGTAATGAAGATAAACACTCGATTGGGGATATTTCAAAGAATTTGGGGAAATCTAAAAGTATTATTCATATTATTTTAAGAAAACTTGAGGAAACTTGGTCATGTGAAGACAAGAAACCACCTGGCAGGCCTAGGAAAACTACTACAATGGAAGACAGATGGATTGGTAATGAATCAAAAAAGGATCGATTTTCGACAGCAACCGCTATCTCTAAAAGAGCCAATGCTAACCTTGGCATTAAAATATCAAGGCACACTATTTCCCGAAGACTTAATGAAATAAATCTGAACAGTTGAGTAGTCTCTAGGAAGCATTACATTTCTAAAAAGAATCAATTGAGCCGATTGAAATTTGCCACTGAACACGCCATATGGACAGAAGAACAGTGGGATTGTGCTCATTTCAGCGATGAGTCAAAGTTTAAACTATTCGGTTGTGACGGGAGAAGGTTCGTTCGACACAGTCCTAAAGAATAATATTTGCCTCAGGGCACTAAAAGCGGCGTTAAATTTTGAGGAGGACGTGTGGTGGTTTTTGGCATGAATTCAGCTACTGGTACGGGACGTCTTGTTAGGCTACACGGTAACATTAACGCAACAGAATACAAAGAGATATTGAAGAAACATGTACCTAATTTGAGAACTGCAATTAATCAACCAGCTGTATTTATGCAAGATAACGCGCCCTGTCACACAGCGAAGTCTGTTAAGACATTTCTTTCTGAGGAGGGTGTTACTGTTATAGAGTGGCCTGCTCAAAGCCCAGACATGAATCATTTTGAGATTGTTTGGCAGTTACTAAATGAAAGAGCTAAGTAAAAAATACCAACAAACGTCGAAGAACTATGGACTAATTGGAAAGAAGAATGGGAGAAAATATCCGTTAATGAATGCAAGACATTAATTCGCTCATGTAGCAAAAAAAGTCAAGTTGTTATTGAAAGTAAAGGTTTACACATCAAGCTATTTTCATTTGGATATTATATAATTATAGTAGTATGATTTTGTTAATCGTTCTGATCTTTTTGATCATCTGTTTTTTCGAATGTTATATAATTATTTTTATAATTTTATCAAAATAAGTTTATTGAGTTTTATATTTTGAAATTCTATAATTTATCTTCGTATCCTTATTTTTACTTGATAAAATGTTCTAGGAAGCTTTAATATAAAAAGTTATTTGACATTTAGACTTTTTTCTTAACATCGTTCTGATCTTTATGCTCGCTACTATATATATATATATATATATATATATATATATATATATATATCTGTGTGGGCGCGTGTGTGTGATTTTTTTTCATTTTTTTCTGAGTTTATCTGGACACGAGACAAAATGAAAAAAAAAGACAAGAAGAAAAACTATACATAGACGGCGCAGTTCGTAGGCTGACAGATTTTATCAAAGCAAATGCCTTGATAAAGTCCGTCAGAACGAAACGCGTCAGCTAAGCATCGTTTTTCCTCTTGTCATATATATATATATATATATATATATATATATATATATATATATATATATATAATTTAAAGGTAGTTTATCATTTGGTTTCATAGGGTTATTTCTGTAAATAAAACTTGAAACGTCGTTTGTTCGATTAGTTTAACAGTTTTCGTTGTGTTCGATTTCTTTATTCATTTATAAATATATATTATATATATATATATATATATATATATATATATATATATGAGAGCGAGTGAGTGAGATAGATAGAATGATTGATTCAATCAATAAAGGAAATTGAAGTGACTTATTTGAATGACCGACTTTAGTGTTTAGTGGCGCAACGCTCACCAATGCCAGATGTTCGATAAATTTTCGATCGATAAACGTTTCGACGCAGAACTCGAGAATCGGTCAATTAGATAAATCACTTGAAATTTTCTTGAATTATTGAATATTATAACTCTAGTTACCTCTTGAACAGTCTTGGGCAGAAGATCTAGTAACATGAAAAATATGTTAAATTCTCGTAATTTCTACGTATGTTTTAGTTGTATTATCAGTGGTAGTATATGTGTATATTATTTCATCTATATATTTGTGATATAAAAACATATTTGAATATTACAACTTTACCGCAAAAACGTTTTATTTTCTAGTAATGGATGGTTATAAGCGAGAGGGGAGATGGGATATATTTATTTTATTAACACAATATTATTTATGTTAATTGTTCAGTTTGCAATGAATTTTCATTCTTCCATCATTTTGATATGTTCATTCATAAAATTAATTATAGCTTAACCAAAATTATTTTTATCTTACACAAATTACATTAAGTGATTAAATATGAATATTTTCGGCTTTCTTCTCAATTTATTTCTATAATTATTATGCTTTCTTTACCGTTTTTAATTCTTCTGTTTTTCACCTAGACTACCAACTAATTCTACTTAACCGAATCGAAACTGGTGCTTTACCCATAGGTGGAAAGCCATGATTATCAGTGGAACAATATAAAACTCCCAAAGAATATATTTACGTAATGACATCAACAAGAGAAATATTTGCGAAGCTGAAATTGGCTTGCTTTCACTTAAACTCTAACGTAAACCACGTGACACAAGGAGGAAATATTCATCCAATTATAAGTGCAAGAAGAGATTTGAGAAATGATAATAATCAGTTTTCTTGGTGTATTTATTTGATTTGTCCGTCTGATATCGTTTAATGTTGAGAGACATCAAGTCTACTCAGTGCAACATTTTGTTTTCATTGAATTGATTATTTTTGGAAGCAACGATGTTCTTCTTAATAAAGATTTCACTTTTTTAAAAGTTCTTTTATGTTTCACTATTGTTTAAATGGATCTTGAGTTCTTTACCGATATTCAAGAGACTATAAGAACGCTTCACTTTCTTTACTTTGTCTGCCTCACTTCTCTCTCGCTCTTCTTCTTCTTTTCTTTTCCCTCTTTCTCCCTCTCTCTTCTTTTCTTTCTCCCTCTCTCTTCTTTTCTTTCTTTCTTTCTTTCTTTCTTTCTTTCTTTCTTTCTTTGCTTGCACTTTTCACTCTTTTTCTCACATTTTTATTTCTTTGTTTCTTTTTTCTTTCTTCCTCTCTTTCTTTGTTTGTTGCTTCTTTTACTCTTTCTCCCTTTCTCTTTCTCCTTTACCCCGTTTCTTCCTTTCTCTCTTTCATTCTCTCTCCCTTTTTCTCTCTCTCCCTTTCTTTTTTCGCTCGTACTCTCTCCTTGTTTTTTTTTTAATATTCTTTTCTCTTCATACTTTTCCTCTTTGCCACTTCTTCGTCTCGTTTCCCATTAATATATATATATATATATATATATATATATATATATATATATATATTGTGATTTTAACTCTATCATTAAAATAATCTTAAATGCTGAACTTACCTCGGAAAGATTGTTTCGGAAAGTTAAAAATCTATCTCATCTCCCCACGCTATGGGTTAATTAGTAAGACTTTTAATACTAAACCATTACTATATCCAAAAATGTTTGACAATCTAAAATTATTCTCTAGTTAAATAGCCAGCAGATTGTCGATAAGCCGTAGAAAACGAATCAATCAATCGAAAAAGAATAAACACTACTGAACTCCCTCATGCGTGGAAAGAGATTGTGTAGCGTCAGACCCCATAACAGCAGTGATATTCCATTTTTGTTTTATCTGTCTCTTGTCTAAGCCTGATTACTATGCAAGACTAGACGGCCTATCTTTATCAATAACCAATATTGCAATTCCCTGTGTACAGATATTAAATTTAAACTATATCATCTGCCACGTTTGTTTGGCTGAGACCGAAGCAATACCATTATAAATTAAGTACAATATTATTAGCACTACCCATCCGAATTTAACTTCCTGTTACCAACGGAAGACAAAGCGAAGTATGTGCTTTGCCCCTGTGTGCATCACCTGACGGGTCTTAGCTGTAAAGGGTTGAATAAATGGGACATGCGAATGTATCGATAGAGTATCAATAGCCTTGTCACGTTGGAACGGTGTTGGGTTGAAAATAATTGGTCACCTACAAGAAAGTCCTAAATATTTAAATTCTGTCAAGTCTAGAAAGGGTGAATTGAACAACTCCCTCCCAAATATGGCGGCGACTATTTTTTGTTTACTTGTAAAAATAGAGCAGGATAAGTTTTGTAATTCCTTAGTATTGAGCCTTACAGCTGTCATCAATTTTAATTCAACACTAGGGGAGGGAGTTTGCATAAGCACAATCTAATACGTCTAGTTAGCCTGACGACGTAACAGCAGCTCTCGTGAAACCTTAACCTATAACTCAATTCCACGTTCTGCTAACAGTAAAATATCCTTGATAATGCCTAACAGATTAACCGAAAGCGCTCGTATCTAAAGTTCATTTGGAAATTTCTTAAACACTCTTTCGAACAGTCTCCTTTGCACGCGAGAAAAAATGTCTTCTTCAATGAAACTGTATAAAAGATGGATTGCTGCCTAAATACACAATTCAATGTGTGTGTAAGCATGTTTGGGTGTGCGTATACTTGTAAGTATATGTGTGATCATGAATTTTTGTCTTTGAAGATATATATATATATATATATATATATATATATATATATATATATATATATATATATATATATATATATTGTTCAAACTCAAACACTTATATATATTTAATTCAAAATCAAACAACTATATATATATATATAATATATATATATATATATATATATATATATATATATATATATATATAGAGCGAGAGAAAAAGAGATCTATATAGTCAATATTTAGTAGTGTATGTATGTCTTTGTGACACACGCCTGTACCTTTTTTTGTGTGTGTCTTATCAAGCTACTCTTTTTTATTTTTTATAACTAATTATATTTTGATTTCTTGCTTTCGAAAATTCTTTTTAGACTGAGGCGAGGTTTCGGGGAAAGAGAAATAAATCCAATTAAATTGAATGAATTTTAAAAATAGTCGAAAGTGAATGTTGCGCACACACTTCAGCATTTCAAGAAAAAAAATCCTCTGAGAAGTCGTGTTTCTTTTTAAAAAAAAATATGAACGCTTTTCCAAATGCGAAAAATATGAAATTCACAGAGAGAATCAAAATGTGAGAAAGAGTGAGATAGAGAGCGAATATGTTTGAGAGAGAGAGAGAGAGAGAGAGAGGAGGGAGAGAGAGGGGGGAGAGAGAGAAAAAAGAGGGAAGGATAGATAAATAGAATTAGAAATGACGGATGTGAAAGACAGATGAAAAGAAAAACTGAAAGAGAGAGAGTCTTCGTAAATAAATTACAGAGCGAGAAGGCGAATTCATGATCAATGAGGAAATGCTCATTTTCGATTATGTCCGACTGCTCAGGCGGTTAACAAATTTCTGTTGCATATGCCTCCACACACACACACACACACACACACGTTTTTGTTTGTTCAAGATATACCGAGCCCACCTGAGGTTCATGCTATGATAAGCATACTATGTTTAGCAAGAATGAAATACAATGTGTGTTCAAATGTTTGAACCATGCTAGTATAGTCAAACCTTCGTTCACAATGATTTTTTTTTGTCATCGTTATAGACATACCATTGATTAAAATTCTGTCTACCCAAATTCACTCCCATCGCCTTGGTCAAACGATGGTATTGTTTGTCCTCATTTACCAACGACACCGTACGCTGGGAACTCTTCCTCGGACCGATAACATCAAGATATCAACTCCCTGAAAAATCGACAATGATGAGAATAAAACTCGGTTCTTATGGCCAAAATAGAAGTTTCTAATTCTTCAGCCATGGAGAGATTTGTGCGATAAAATAGTCATATAGCCCACGCACATAAAGAATATATATATTGTCTAAATTATATTATAATTTCAAACTTAATATAGATTAAATTTAAAATTTAAAATTGATAAGTTTTAATTTTATAGTATAATTTAACCCTAACATTGAAGCATTAATTAATTATTATAACTAACGTTCGTTGTCAAGTTTTTTTAATTCTTATATACTTGTATTTTGATTAGTCATTCCAGCTTATGTAACAGCATTTACCCTAGCGAGAGGTGTTTCATTGATTTGAACTTTTTAAAACACTTTATTTTACATTCAACAACATCACTTGATAAGTCACCAGAAGTTTTGAAACAAAATGACTATTTTTGTAGTGATTTTATAAATATTTATGTTATAATGTTTCAATAAATAATAAGAATAGTATATGTTGGCTATGGGAAATTATTCCGTATACAACAATCCTATACTTGGAGATATATATGTGTGTGTGTATTTAGACAGCAAATTCTCTTTTAGGCATGTCAAATTTAATAAATTGCAAACAATACGTCCCCTCCTCTTTATCATAATCTTCATGTTACTAATATGTTTCCGTCCATTATAATCAAATAAGGAAACGAATGCAATTTAACAGTGAGAATCACTTTTATTTGCTAAGTATCTTTTCACCTCATTCTGAGATCATCATCAGGGGTGTAACATTATTATGTCAAAAATCTGTGTGGCTGTTCATTACTGAATTTTCAATCTTCGCGCTAATATATATATATATATATATATATATATATATATATATATATATATATCGGAGATGACGGATTTATATTATGTCAGTAATTAAGTTCCATACGTGATAACAGCTTGAACAATCAGGTATCTTTCACTACATGACTCACGAAGCAGATTTTTCCAGCGGTAGGTTGTCATTAATTTCTCTGGTAGACTGGTGGCCAACAAAGGCTAAAGAACCGAGTCTATCCTGCTATATACGTGTCGATATCCATTGCATCACAACGTATCTTGTATACATTAATTTAATTTCTTCTTCTCTGATCGCTTCCTGTATGATGAAGGCATTTATGACTTAGTATACAAATATATATAGACAACTCGATGGTAATGACTGCATAGTAATATTGGTGAAGGACGAAATCGATTCTTTGAGCCTTTCTCCTTTGCTGTTTGACTTCTTCATATTCTCTTCCGGGAGCTTGAATTTTACATACATACATACTTACCTACCTACATATATATATATATATATATATATATATATATATATATATATATATATATATATATATATATATATATATATATATATATATATATAATGGGGACGTATTACATATATTTACTTTAGTTTTTAATTAGTTTTTTATTCTTTCAAGTCAAAGAATTAATTTCTTGGTGGCCTTAAATATGATAAAAAATTGCCGAAATATTCTTTCAAATAGTTTATATTTTCCCATGTAATTTCAATCTCATCTGAAAACATCTTCAGAGGAATAAAATAACTGTGGATATTTATACTGTAGCTCCATAAATTCTAAATATTTTTTCAGTTTTCGTTTATTATTTAAATAATTGAATGAAAATATGATAAATATACATAGACACTTCTAAAATTGTCCGTACGTATATTAAATTGGACTTTCAATGATCATGTCTCCTTTTCACGATCATGATTTGAGAACTGATTTATCTTTCAAATTTCTTTGTCATTTGACATTTAAAATGAATTATATTAAAATATGCTTCACATTGTTAAAGGAAAAGTTCATTATAAGTCAGAAAAATATTACTAAAGCACATAGGCCACAAACAACTATTATTTTAATCATTAAAATGAAACTTGTTTGAGGTCTATTTTAAATAAGGTTCAATTCTATGAATATCTATCATTAATTATTGCAAACATCCAAATCAACAGTTTAATAACGAAAGCAGAACCCAGTTTTTTTTATATGTGCTTTATCAAAAAATGACATAGCATGCAAAAAATTTCATTAAAAATGCAAAGCATATTCAAGATATAAGTAGATGTTTATATTTGGGTATGTATTTGTTTGTCTGTGAGTTAAAGTGATACATTGGATATATATATATATATATATATATATATATATATATATATATATATATATATGTAATTATTTATTTAAAAATATGATTCCAACACGCTACATAAGAGGTCTCATGTTTCAGAATAAGAGCCGAAATCTTCAATATAATCATTTGAATTAAATTGAATTAAAGTAAGCTCTGTTCCATCTTCAAGCGAATTTTTTTTTTGAATAACTTATTTCTGAAATTTACGTGTTTTAATAGCATATTCATTATTGAAATCAAAATTTCCATGGTAACGGCCAGAGCGATTGTTTAAATAGGAAGGGTTGTACGGTGTTAATAATTTGTATCGGTATAGAGTTACATCCATAGATGTCAAGTCAGGGTAAGGTTGGGGTGTCTAAATTTAAAGATCTTTGGATTATTTACCTAACGAGTTCTTTCCTATTTTCTATATATTTTCACACACACACACACACACACACACACACACACACACACACATATATATATATATATATATATATATATATATATATATATATATATATATATATATATATATATATAAATTGATTGAAAAAAGTCTTCAGTGAGTTATGTGTCATAAGTGATACACGCGTAGACAATCTTGTATCTTTCGATACATGACTGACGTTATAAGACAACATGTATATATAGGGAGGGAATTTACATATTCAGGCTAACAGGGATAGGGAGACATCTCTCATTAACACATGCATTATTACCAGCTCTTATACTAAACTTAATGGTTGTATTAACAATTAGGCGGATATTCACTTTTGCCAACATTTATTTAAGGAGTTCAAGGCCCACTAACATATACAGAAAACGAAGCGCGAGACATTACAAGAATATAAGGAAAACTTATTCCTTTTAAAATTTATTCCTTTTATTTGCCTGAAGAAGGTCATGAGACCGGAAAATCGTGTAGCAGAAATATGAAGAATAAAATACAATATATATACTGAAAGAAATATACATTAAAACCAAAAACGTTTGCGGTTTGTCTTTTTAAAAAGAAAAAAATGAATTCTCTTGTTGGTACAACTATATATATATATATATATATATATATATATATATATATATATATATATATATATGATTAGTTAGATAAATAGATATAAAAATGAGCATAAATAGAAAAACAACGTGTGTAAAACTCATTTTAATGAGTAGGATGTATAACGTATCAATCAATATATGGCGTTAAATGTTGAATAGTAATATTGATACTAAGAAGGTAAATTGTACTGGGATCAAAAGTCACATAGACAAATATACTGCCTTAATGAACCAAAAATCAATAGTATTCAAATATTCACACACACACACACGCATATGTGCGTGCTTGCGTACGTATCTATGTAAGTGATGAATTGAGAAATTCCTTACATAAAATTTGAAAAATAAATAAAAACTTTATACTAAACATAAGTGGCTCTTGGCAAAAGCTAAGAAGTGAACAAGCCTGCAGCCATCTGCCCTCCACCACCCTCGTCCTCCAAGCGTAACATCTTTTTCTCTCTTTAGTTCTTTTCGCATCACTGTAAAACTCTTTTTTTGTTTTATTTTTTTTTCGTTTTCTTATTTTCCTCATAATATTAACTGAAATAACATTTTCTTTTCATTTTTCCTTATCAATTACTTATATCAGTATAGCAGGCATTTATGCTTTCTATGTCGCTTGGGGACTGATTCCAAATGACGATATTATCTCCAAGCTTTCATGATGTTCGTCTGTTTGTGTAAGAAAAGATTGGTTAAATGTAGACATGTTGCTGCAAAGGCAGGTTTGAAGGACACGTTTTAGTATTTGTGTAAAAGGTTATTGATAGTTAAAAGGTCATGCATATCAATGTGAAATGGAACGATGTCCGGACGAAAGATGATGGAGTTTGTCGGATGATCTGAATCAGCAGATTTCATTCTCATTTGGGCGAAAGTGACATTCACTGTCATATTCAAGTATATTATAACACAGGGTTTATTTCTTCTTCTTCTTCTTCTTCTTCTTCTTCTTCTTCTTCTTCTTCTCATTTCTTTCCGTGTCCCAACCAGGGACGTAAGGTCAGAAAGGCATGATGACATTTTACATAGATAAAGCCCTTCGATTTCTTTAAGACATGGGCTACCAAGGATTCCTTCAGCGAGTCTATTGTAACCATTTCCAAACTACACCTGGAATTATTAATGTCCTCATGCGCCACATCTTTTGAGATTTCGATTTCAAGGTCCTTGTATTTTGATAGTGTTCCGAAGAACTTCAAAAATACATTGCAGTCTGCAGGGGCTGTCACGTCAATAAGAAGACACATTTTCCCTTTGCGCTCTCTAATCACGACGACAGGGCGATTTGCTTTGATCGTTCAGTCTGTATGTATTGTAAAATAACTATACAATTGTCACAGGTCCTATCTCCGCAGTTTTCTTTCCGTAAGTGCTGCAGATTTTCCAGTGCAGATATTGACCAATCAGTCGTGCCGTGTCTTATAATCCGTGGAAACCAATTCCACGCTACCTTTTACAAGATTGTTAATTGTTTCTGGATATTTATCAAAGACTCTGCATTTTTGACGAACACACTTTTTCAGTATGTGTGTTTCTTTATTTCTGTTTATCAAGCATTGGTCCTGTCCATCAAAAATAAAACTTTCAGTTGAACTGAACTACGTAGCCACTGCTAGGACCGGTTATTTTCTACATCAGCTTGTTTAGTACTTGTTTTATTTTAACATTGTTATTATTACTAGAAATAGTAATACTACTATCATTGTCTTTTCTTCGAACAGGTATTCGTTTTCCACCGAAGATCTATGAATTATGAGTATTACCTATCAAGTCATACAACCCTAATCAGATAGAATCTTTCGCAGATACTTACAGCAGTAAAAAGCGTAGACTTCTGAAGCAATGCGATACTAGGCTTTCATTCGATTTTCTTAATGTAGGTCTTTAGGGTCACTGACATAGACCCCAGTGCCCCAAGCATATCGGAGACTATAGAAGCCTGAACGTCCCACATTCCGGCAGATTTAATTCGGATATCGCTTGACAACTTAAGCTTTTCAATTTCAACTGTGATATCGGATTTGTCAATCCGCTTGAATGGTGAAATCCCACAATATCTTTAGCTTTACATTCTATGTTTTTTTTCCTGGGTAAGACGTTAAACTAAATCCACATCCTGGGTAAAACGATAAACTACATTCCAACAGCAAGGCCTCTGATCAGGAGGTCTTTGATGAGCGTGGAACCATCTCTTAATTGCTGGTGTTCCCAGGTCCACCCTGACCCGGGGTGGTAGCACCTGTTAGGGTCCCAGTTATGGGAAAATAGTTAACTATTACCAGCGATACTTTTTTGAAATAAATAAGACCAGCAATACAATTCTGAAGGAAAAAATATTACCAGAAACAGATTTGTGGCAAAACAAAATATTACCAGCAATAAAAAATTTTGTCAGTATTAAATAACACATTCAGGTTGATATCCCGTAAAACAAAATAAACAAAAGCAATCATTACCAAAGAATACATATTCTATTCATACGAATCTATCCTAAAAATGTCGTCATTAAATAACCTATTGAGGTTGATATGCCGTAAAACAAAATAAACCAAACCAAACCATATTCTATAGTTTTATTATTTTATTTTCTATAATTATTTAATTATAGTTTCTATAAACTTTTCCATTTCCCTGAAACAGCGTTCTTTCTTTTTTCTTTCTTTCCTTTTCTTTTTCTTTCTTTTTTCCTTTATCTTTTTGATCATTTTTCTTTCTTTCGTCTTTCTTTCTTTCTTCTTTCTTTCTTTCTTTCTTCTTTCTTTCATTTTTTCACTATAACATAAAAGTCTCTTTTGCCTCTCTTTCCAGGCGATCATAACTGAATAATTCATTATTTATGAGGTATGAGCAAACACAAATGTGCCTGAGCGAACGTGTGCAATAGGGATTAGCTAACCTCCCTAATACACTGGTATCCTCGAATACGACTGGCCATATATATATATATATATATATATATATATATATATATATAATGTGTTTATATGTGTGTGTTAGACATCACTTACGAGAATGTAAGGTCCAGATTTTGGATGAGTAGCTCGCTGCTATTAGAAGTTGAATAAAATGTAATGTTATGTATAAGCGGTTCAGTCTCGTGTTCTCATTAAAAATGTACGATGTGTTATAATTAAACAGCACGTCGTCTCTATAAAGCAGTTTTCGAAAGAAAAAAAAATCTTTGGAAACAGAAAAAAAAAAATCAGTAGTCACGAATGCACTGACGGTTTCATCACATTCCCAGTAAACTTCGTAAAAAGCAGAATTTCATTTCCGTTTGCTAATTTTTCATTAGAAAAATGACGCATATTTTAACTTCCTGACTACACACTTTATAAAAACCTAATGTACGCCGAATTATTGTGGTAACAAATAAAACATACACTGACTTAGTGCCATAGACGGAATAACTCCTGATAATATATATCTTTCAAATTATAAACCAATATGATACTTTGGAAGCATAACACACATTTAAATTTCTCTGGTTGGAGTAATATGCACTATGGTTTGAATTAAAGAGATATGGCTAAATAGATCAGTTAATGAAAGTGTACTGAAGCTATGGCGGTCTATATAGAGTTAAAAAAAGGAAATTATTTAAAAATGTTGTATTTTAACATGAGTGATTCATAACATGACTTAAAGATGATAATATGCGTAGTTAATTGCTATTTTGAACACAAGGGCGTTGCGTAACGGATGCAACGTGTTCGTTAATAGCAAGAGACATGTGGTGGAATACATTGTATATGCTTGGGTACGTCAATAATTATCAGCACTGGTGTCATAAAGTAACTTTAGTTTTGTCGCAATGTCTTCTGCACATGCGTGCTTATATTTGGTACTATTGTGGTCACGTGATCGACATTTGATCTTGATAACGCCAGTTTTCTTGCTTCTGTAACAGTGTGCACCACGAGGGACAAACAGCAATGATGTGATTTATCTGGTCAAATATGTGTCAGGGACGAATTTTCATCGGTGGCTTTTAAAACAATAAGGCCAAATGCATTACCGATTAGAAGTGCGTACTTTCAAAATGGCCGGGCAAGTTTCAAAATGGCCGGGCAAGCCTGACGCACGAAGGAGTAGGAGCAGAAGGCGCGTCAACCTCTACCAATGACGAGAAAATTCAGCAAGATTTAGATGTGGTAATGGCGAACCGGTGAGTTTTCATCAAGGAGGTGGTATGTGCTCTGCCGATTTTGGTAACTGTTCTTTGTTTTTCTTTGGTGCACACTGCTAGTGGAACGTCCATGTTTACACAGTAACATCAGCAATAATACTGGTGCGACCAAGCTCAACGTTTGATCACGTGACGTTATTACCACAAATTATAAGCATGCATTTCAATGAAATTTTATACCTAAACTTTTGACATGACCTAACCTTGTGTGCGTATATATATATATATATATATATATATATATATATATATATATATATATATATATATATATATATATAAACAATTGGAAAGAAAATACCTTTAGTAAATGACCATTTTCACCTACGAAATTTAATTTTAAAATTCGCAGGATTTTTAAAACTGTTTATGCTATCAGTTTGGAGTGTACTTTTTATATGTAGAAAGAAAGAGAGAGTGTGTGTTATAGGAGACTTATTGCAAAGCTTTACTCTGGTTAATTAAAATAAATATTGAGCGCACTTTTGTTAGTCAGTTTTAACATATTTCAAATTCTATGTTGTGTTTATAGAACTTGCCTGGATTATTCCGACGGTTCACAATATATATATATATATATATATATACACACACACACACACACACACACACACACATATATATATATATATATATATATATATATATAGAGAGAGAGAGAGAGAGAGAGAGAGTGAGTGAGAGAGAGAACAGGTAAAATAAACGTGGGTAATGAATCCAAATAGATCTTATTAATATAAAATATTCAAACTGAACCACAAAAGAGGGCTCAATATTTTTTTTTTTTATTAAAGAGCATATAAGTGAATTACATTTAGTGACATTAAGAAAAGATTTACCTCATACAGAGGACCATTTCTTCTATGGGAAATAAATTTTATCTATGCAAATACATTTACTAAAAGTATCAATGCAAAGACAATTACTAGAAGTAAATATATTTGCATTGATATGTCTAGGGACGGAATGGTCATCTGTATGAGGTAAATTATTTGGATCTCTTTTAGTGTGATTCACACACACACGCACACACACGTATATATATAGTCAGCCACACTCTCTTCTCAACTGAACAATTTTGAGAGGAAAAAAAATTATTCAAGCCTCCAGTAATGGTAACAGCATTCATAGTCTGACTTCCATCTTCAAATTCAATCAAGAACAAGAGAATTTAAAATATATTTTAAAACTACGGAACAGTAGAGAGGAAAACAGGATTAGGAAGTCATATCAGGAAGAGGGATCATAAAGATAAAGAGATCAAATAGAAAAGATTCAACTCAATCCGTAAGACGTTTGGAACGTCAGAGCGGAGGTTCAGTGATGACAGTCAAAAAGGGCTTTGAAAAAAAAAAGACTTGAAAGTAAAATAGTTTCTGAAAATGTGAGGAACTTGTTGCTCCAGGACAGAAAATAACAAGTTAAAGTTCGTCTTGAATGAGTTGGACTTGAAATATATATATATATATATATATATATATATATATATATATATATATATATATAAGCAAGTGTAAATGGATATAAATCCGACAGAATGAAGAAATTTTGAAAAAACAAACAAAAATCCTTAAATGTAGTTAAAATGAAAGAAATGTCGACGTCTGACGTTTCGGTTTAATAAACCTTTTTCAAGACAATATTCATCAAAATACAATTCAGTTCAATATGACAAATACGATGGACATAAAAACACAAGTCTTATTCAGAACAGATTTTGAAAATTTTAAAAATAGTCAAAATTTTCGTCCATCGGGCGACGCAAAATAATCTAAATTTTTTGAATACGTTCTTGAAAGCGTCGCGTGACCATGTCAGACGTCGATCATTTTAAAAATTTCCAGTTATTTTAAACATTTAAGGATAATGAAGTGAAGTATGATATTCCATGTGTGCGTGTTTGCGTAAAACTATTTAAACATGCTGGGAAAAAAACGGATAGCACAATCTTAAAACAAATTTCAGAGGAAAAAAAAGTTTGAAAAAAGAAAGAACCAGTTGAACAAATGAAAGATTTCTTCCGTGGTACAAAGAAAAAAAAAACCTGGTTAAAGAATAGTACCTACGCTAATTAGAGCAAAAAATAAAATAAATAAATCCTAATGAGTAAAAGTGAAATAAATACATCCTAATGACAGTTAATACCTATGTAAGTTCACCCTTATGATCCCATGTGGTAGATATACCTGGCTCATTAGTACACACACACACACACACACACACATATATATATATATATATATATATATATCCTAATGATCCAGGTAATACCTACCTAGGTTTCACCACATGGGATCATAAGGGTGAATTGACTCCAGTTCACCCTGATGATCCCTTGTGATATATCCTAGGTAGTACCAGGCTCATTAGGAATTATTATTTTTTATATATATATATATATATATATATATATATATATATATATATAGAGAGAGAGAGAGAGAGAGAGAGAGGGGAGAGAGGGGGGTTACATTCTACACTTGGATAGTTTAAGATTATCGTGATCTGAGTAACATCCTCTCAAAAGTCTGTTCCACTGATCAGTGATTCGCGAGAATAAGCTGTTCGAGTAGAACTTACTTCTCACCAATGGAATTTAGGTGGTTTGCTGAAATATAATCGTCATGAAACAATTTTTGAACAGGAAATAAGTTTCTCCTGTTCAATAGCTCTTATCGATCTTTTCAATATTTATGGAGGCTTCCTTCCTAACATTTGGTTTGAAATAATGCAGAATATTTTGATGTCATTTCTTTTTTGTGTTATATGTTCTATCCATTTTAGTTGTTGCTGCTGTTTGATATCCACATGTGATGCATTTTTCTTATGTTATTTGCTACATTTCTTTGTGATTCTGCAGCGACAGTCCACAATCTTCGAAGAATGACGGTCCTCACTGAATCGTCATCGTTTTAGCAATTTACGCTGCTGAGCGAAACTACATTTATCCCCGAATTTTCTATGTTCGCTTATGATCTAAATACCGAGATATTTGAATTTTGGGGGATTTTCAGAAACCACCTAATGGATGTTATGATGGATTCAGTGTAGGTATCATCTCTACCTTTATTCCAGTTCCAGATCCTAGTTTCTGTTTTGGAAAGGTTTATCTTGAGTCCTAATTCTTGGAACTTTTGGTAGACGACATTAAGTTTTCTTCAACTATATTTACTAAATTCAGTATAAACCGTTCTAACAAAACAATAAGTAGGTAACTATGACTACCGACCTCACCGTAATGACTAAATAAAAATTTGCTAAACGACCTCTAGAGATGTTTGTAACAATAGTTTTCGTAATATTAGAATTATTAATAGGCTGAGTCTTAGGAAAACAAAGACAATTTTCGACGAAATGATGTCCACAGATCCATAATCCTTAGCGGAACAGAGGATTGCAGTATTGTATTGCCACTGGTGTGTTAGCCATAAAATTACACCGCGCATAATATCATATATCCCCGGGAACATATTGTCGATTTTTTGTGACCTGATTTTCTTTGGGGTATTTTTTAAATTGCAAATCAATCTCAGGATATTTGTTCTTCCCAGCTGAAACGTTTTCATACGTACAATCATTGGTATTGGGC